AAAAAAATAGGAGTATACTTCTTTCGATATAGAGCAATCCTAGGGCGTGAGAGCATTACAACTCCGACTTTGCGCGTTTTTGGACCACCCTATTGTGCACTCTTTCAGTTGGTCTACTTCGCAAGAAGACCTTAAATTTATTCGCGACGTTGAACCTCGGAAGAAACAAGCCTTAATAAACTATCACTTTCGCCTAATGAAGATAAATTTTGATGAACTCAAGTGAGAGTTTTGGAAAATTGGATTAGAACTGATGTTGCTGATGTTCTGCCGCTGACTATCAAGGTGAAACCTTTACTACTGGACATTTGAAAGCGAAGCGGGCTCTGCTATTGAAAAATTTGGATTTCCGAAGATGGGAGTGCTAATCTGGACAATTAGTGAAATGTCTGGTGACCAGATACTCCCGAGTGACCTGGTACCCAGAGTAAAGCAAGCTCGTTATGTTTACCAACATAATTTAGACGAAACTTGCATTGTCGAACTAGTTTTAAAGTTGCTTTTTGCCCTCCACCTATTTTCCACCACGCAGTCCATGGCTTTGAGGAATGCAAAGACCTTAGCCTGGAAGACCGAGGAAAATGCAGCTTATCCCCATTATCTTGGATAAAGATCCCAGCTCCTTACGCAGAATGAGTTATGGAGTCATGGCATGAGTGTTGGCATTCAACCAACAGGAAAAGAAACTTTGTGAATACTTCGCCCAGATATAACCTTGAGGCATCGAGGGGCTGCAAGTGGGCAAAACTCATTTTGACTTCAATCTCAAAAGGTATATCTACTTAACTCATTGGGCAGACGGGACTGCAGATAGCTTGGTGGCCTGCTGAGTAGTCACTTCACGGGGCACAAACAACTGACTGTGAGAGGCGTACATGACCGTATTATTATCCCGCCTTGAAGATAATAAGATGGCGGAACACTGCCCCGCCGCCTTTGCAAGAACAAGGTATGGGACATTTGACCGCGTTGTGTTGACAGACGAACACCTGAGCTCTGTGACATGCAACAATCTGCTTAGATTTATTCGTAAATCGTGCAGATATTAAAAAGATTAAAAGGGTCATAAAAACAGTACAACAGACGGCATGTAGTCTGAGTTCTGTTCTGCACCCTTCGGTTTGTGCCTGCTTCGGACAAAAGAAGGACAAGAAAGAAAGAAAGGGTACTAAAACAACCGTAAAACCTTAGATGAGGAAACAATTGCATCACTGCAAGTATACTCGTTTAATAATACTACATATGAAATTTATCAATTACCTGTTTGTGGCATCTCCAACTGTGGTCATATCGGCAGAAGTTAATGCTTCTGTGCCATCGCGTTCACGAACCAAACGCTCTGAAAATGGATAAGGAAAAAATAGTAAATTTCCGTAGTTAAATGAAAATTATATCTTTAAATGTAATAAGGACGCCAACAGTTCTCTAGTTTAAAAAATTTGAATTCAGAAATGCAAAAACTTAGAAGGCAGAGTCTACATTCAGCTTATCAAACATTAGAGAGACATAGATTTCCCATCAGGAATCTAATTTAAATTAAAGAGTACTCTAATATTTCTCGAATTGGAAATCAGGTCAGAGAACTAAGTAGGAATTCGTTTAGGGAACGATTAGATCTGTGTTCGTATGGAAAAGTAGCTTATGTCGAAAGGCTGGCTTTAGTATAATGCGGCATTCCCTTTATTCTTCAAACGACAAGGAATTTTTTGATTAGACTTAATAAGAATATTGACTTGCTAGTATCGGAACTATTTATTGCACGTTTATTGGCCAAAAGTTATTCAACGGCTCAGCGCCAGTGAGTCATTCGCAATTGTATGCTGCGAATGCCGCTTTATACTAAAGCTAACCTTTCGACATAAGCTACTTTTCCATATGAACACAGAGATATCTATTCTTTTCGCAGTGTCGGGGGACTGTTTGTAGAGAATGCTATAATTCTCGGGAGTTTCTTTAATCGCCTACTAACTTTCTACCTTAAAGAAACACATTAAACAAATCGAATAGTTTTCTAATCGTTCTCTGACCTAAATGTTTGTTGAGTTTTATCTTGGGCAAACGAACCTAGTCTTCTATGGTTCGAAATCGCTTTTAAACTAGCCTTAATTTAATACACGAGTGCATTATTTTCTCCCATACTCACCTGATTCTTGTAATTTCAGCTCTTCCGGCTGCTGTCCAGGCTTCGCCTTCACTTCAATGTTGATCTCCGCCGAACTATGTCCCGCATGACACGAATACACACCAGCATCACGGAATGTTATGTCCAATATACGCAAAGCGCCTTTCTTCGACACTTTAAACTTCCTTGAACGCGCCAACGGTTTGTGATCCTTACTCCACTTTATCTTTGTGCGATTATAACGTTTCACTGGACACTTTATTTTCACTTGCGTGCCAAAGAAGACCACTGCAGCGCCACCTACTTTGAGTGTGATTTTCGACTTTTTCGGATCGTGTTGTATGTGTGTAGTATTGCTGACTTGTATAACTGGCTTCGGATCCTCAAGTGGACAGGGTTTCACATTGCATGGCTTCTTGTCTGGCGGCTTAGCGCTGGGACACATCGATTCAGGCCGTTCGATTTTATGCTCCTGTGCCATTATTTGCTTGCACTCCACCTTGCGCTCTTTAATGCCATAGCCGCAAGTGTGCGAACATTTCGACCACTCGCCCACCTCCCAACGCACCGGACAGTCGAGCACATTGCAGTACTGGCGATCGGCTGGTGGCGGCTGTGGACACATGCTATTCGGCACCACCATTGTATTCTCACCGCCGCGCGTCACTTCGTGTATGCATTGCACTTCGCGCGTTTTAATGCCGATGCCACACGACTTCGAGCAGGGTGTATAGTCGGAGTAATTCCAACGTGGTGGGCAGGGTCGATCGTTGCAAGTGCGTACGCGCGCTTCTGGCTTCGTATCATGTGAACACAGGAATGGCGATACAACGCGTCCGTTATCCTCACGCACGCAATTTACGATGAGCTCCTCAACGCCACCCAAACAGCTAGCGCTGCACGAGGTGTAGCCTTGTTCGCGCCACACATACGTTTTGCCCGGCTCGGAGACGCCTACTTTGATCGAGTCGCGTGGATATTGTTCATCATAAGGGTGCGAGGGCAACATGCATGGTTCGCCGACGCAACGCTCAACTTCATCGTGCGGTTTGATGCCTTCGCAGAGCGAATCGTTGACGGTGGCAATGGTGCGTGAGTATTCGAGGAAGATTTTGCAGCGAAAAACACGCCGGCGGACGCCCTCGCCGCAGGTGACGCTGCAAGGTGACCACTCGGAGTCCTTGACGAAGCTGTAAGGAATAACAGGAGGAAGTGATTAAAATTGGTAACTCATTTATAAATCATAAGGCTGGAATATTGGCATTAACTCATCGGTTTTTCTTGGATTCGTCAATGTTGATACCGACAAATTAATCGATAACTTATTAGACAATCCTACGACAATATAATTGTTGGAAAAAAATACATCGCTACCTAAAGGTGAAAAGGTGCCAAGTCTACTTTTTTTAATTTAGGTTTTGATGCAGAATGACAGATAATGAGAAATTTCAAAAAAATAGACTTGTCAACTTTCCACCTTTAGGTACGAACATATGAACATTGCCACTGATAATAAATATCGGCAATCTAATCGATAAAAATAAATCGACAAAAAAATGCTTATCAACAAAAATAACCATTAACTACAAAGATTTTTATTTTTAGGTCAGAGCAAAATCGTTATATTTCGATTTTTATTTGTGCGATCGAATAATCATTAAATTCGGATTTTTACTTTTTTAGGCCAAAATTTTGTGAGTATTATTTTTTTGATTATTTTTTTATTTTGTGATTTTTTTATTTTTGGTAAAAATTCCATTGTTAAATTTAGATCGTTATTTTGTGATTCTTACAGCCAATTTCACGAAGGCAGTTTAAGAGAAAATTGATTTTAATTTTTTTTAATTTTATATGGAAATTCATAGAAAATAAAAAATCTTTTTCCATTAAAATTGCTGGCGAAACCGGCTATTATTTTTTCGTTAAAAAATAATCGTTAAATTTGGATTATAATTTGTTGACTAAATATTCAAATTAGATTGCTATTTTGCCATTCTTATTTTTTCAATAATTTTTATCCGCTATAATGCCGTTTTAAAACTTGTATAACCTTATGCATAAAAAATATATAAAATAAATTTAAAAATTTATGAAACTGTCACTTTATAAAACTTTTTAAATCTACATTATTTTTTATGAATAAGGCCATTAGATCTAAAAAAATTAAATTAAATCTGAAAATAACGGTTATAGCATGATCGAAAAAATATATATTAAATTTGTGGGCTACGAGGGATCTAATATAAAGTCGAGTTTTTTTACTAAAGGACATACAAACTGGCACTAAGGCGAAAACACTTGGCATGCAGGGCCTACGCCAGCACGATGGTCTTTAGGGGTTCTTAACCCCACCTTCCTGAATCACTTACAACCAACAGACTACAAATGTTCGAAGCTACCCAAATATCAAAAAACTGTCCTCAGTTTATGACCAGGGACGCAGCAATACCGATGAAGGAAGCAGTTATTCCAACGGCTTCCCATAGTTAGTTGGCGAGACACCGGTTTGATATTCCCAGAAGAAGCTGGGAGCAATCTTTCTATGTAGTTATTGAAATTCCTCTACTCGGTGCATTCACGGATGTATTTATCTCCTTATAGCCGTTTAGTGCATTCAGCGGTGTTTGGAAAGGCGAGTTTACTCCAATGTCCATCGGCGAAGTGCAAGTGCTGCCGGGGGTTGATCAGGACAAAGTGGCCTATATCCAATGCCTTACAAAAGACAGACCTCCGCAACCCCAAGGTTTATGAGGCTTTGCGGGTTTAAGAGAAGAGCGCCAGATTCTTTCTAATTCAATCGATTATCAAGAAGTTTGAAGTAATCTCAGGAATGCTAGATCTCCGTGTGCTTATTTTATTAAATTAAATTATATAAACCAAGGTTCTAAAGACAATATAAAATAAATAATCTTCTGCGATAAAAATACGATGCTCTCATCGCACAATGCCAAATAAATTGTGCAAAAACCATTGCCAAATATCAAAATTCACATTTGTAATTTGTATCTTTATAGCATCACATTTCCATTCCATTTAAGAGTCAGGCATTGTTTTTTTTTTGCCCCCAAAAGCGTCAGTTAAGTTGAGTGTAAATAACGCACATTTACTTCATGCTGTTATACATTTGTAAGTAATAAAATTTCGTATTGTTATTTTTTTTTGCACAAAAAAGTCGCAAAGTGCACTAACAGTTTATTTTTGATGCCAAAAAATGTTATATACAAATATTTTTTATTTTAATTTTTTTTTTTTTATTTGTGAATTCACATATAAGCAGAGAAACGTCTGCGATGCCAGCAAACAAAGAGACTTAAATATTTTTATACAAAGAGACAATTGTAGCTCCACTACATAGTTGCTTGGATGTGGTAAAACTAGAAACAGTAACATCATCGGCGGCAACGGCAGCGGCAGCGGCGACACTACGACGCGCCACAAAGTCTGCTCTATGCCACGCTTGCTGTCAGCAGCAAATAAACTGGCAAATATCTTTGAAATAATAAAAAGTACATACAAGCGCAGTTTATTATCGCACAGGAATTGGCCTACTCCAACTGCCGCATGTGCAAGATCTCAAGTAGCAAAAGTAAAAGAGGCTGGTTGGCTGGTTGGCTGGTTGGCTGACTGACTGGCTGAGGCTGAGGCTGTGGCTGTGTGAATGGTATGCGAGCAAAACCCGTCAAGCACAGTGGGCCGAATTGACACAACAATAGATGCGAGACCAATGGTATCGAAGACATCAACGAATTGGCGGGAGAGAAGAGAATTGGAAACGATTTCATAGAATCGGAAGCATTTTGTGAACTGAATTGCTCTTCTTTCATTACTAACTGGTTAATTCAGAACGGACTAAGTAGGTATGTAAATTCTTAGAAGTAACTAGTGAACCTGCATGGCGTTAAAACGCCCAAAACTTAATTTCAAAACTTAAAAAATATTCCAAATGTTAGCCAGACTTATAAGAGTTCCGAGTGCCAGTGAATAGCAGTCTGGCTTAGTACATGTTTTTAATTTCATCAAATTTCAAATCATCGTATACCGATGAAAAAAGTTCTTAATAAAAAAAAAAAATCATAAAATACTTTGCCACACATCTGCAGGTAAACTCTTTAATTTGGCATCTCATTTTTGAAATTCCCTTTCAAAAGTATTCCTAAATTAAATTCTTAAATCTCTTTCGTGTGATACACATATATTTCAATAAACCGTACAACTAATTTAAATTTGATTGTTCGAACAAATGGCAGCCACCTTCAAACATTCCACATGGTCAAACTAAAGATTTCTTAATATTCTTTCATTTGACTACGGTATTTTTATATTTCATATACTTTTTGTATAAGTTAATTCAGTTAGACCTTTCAAACAGGTGGCAGCCCTCTTCAAAAGTATTTTCAAGTATAATCTTTGTTAACTCTCCTTCGCCTGACATTGCGATACATATTTTAGTTAATTTATGAATTAAGTGGAATTTGATTTTTTGAACATATGGCAACCCCGCTAAGTACAGTTCAGAAATAAGAGTTTTTCAAACGCTTTTCGACTGAGACCCATATTTTAGTAATTCATTAAACTTATTTAATAAATTGAATTTAACTTTTTAAACAGGTGGAAACCCTCTTTCGACATCCCAAAAATATTCTTAGCGTTCAAACTAAAGATTTCTTAACACTCCTTCGTTTGACATCCAAACCCCTTTCATTTAGTACCCATATAATTATACATATTTTTCTTACCTAATATGATTTTTTAAACAGGTGGCAACCCTCCTTTGATTGAGGCTGATCGACTTCGCCGGGGCCCGAAACATGGTAGTATGCAGTACTAGGTTCAAGTATAAAAGGATCCATCAAGCTACGTGGCTGTCTCCGGAGCGAAAAACGAGAAACCAAATCGATCATGTTGTGATAGACGGAAGGCACGCTTCCAGTGTTTTAGACGTACGCACACTCCGAGGCCCAAACATCGACTCGGACCACTATCTTGTTGCAGCCAAGATACGCACCCGCCTCTGTGCAGCAAAAAATGATCGCCCAAATATGCAAGGAAAGCTTAACGTCGAAAAGCTGCAATCACAACAGACAGCAAGCGCTTTCGCTATTCGACTCTCACACCTGCTCTCAGAGAGCACTCTTCAACAAACCGACATATGCGAGCAGTGGAACGACATTTCCCGCTCATTAAGTACCGCCGCCGAAGAAGTAGTCGGATTTCAGCGAGCCCGAAAGATCAACTGGTACGATGAGGAGTGTCAGGAAGCTGCAGAAAAAAAAGATGCCGCCTACAGGGCCACGCTGCGATCGGGCGCAACGCGCGCTATGTGGGACCGCTATAGGGATCTGAAGAGGGAAGCGAGACGTATTTGCCGCAATAAGAAGAGAGAGGCCGAAATACGTGAGTGCGAAGAGCTTGAAATGCTGGCCGACAGGAAGAATGCCCGAAAATTTTACCAGAGAGTTAGGCGACTTACGGAAGGTTTAAAGACCGGGGCGTACTCCTGTAAGAACAATAATGGCGACCTAGTAACTGATGTCCAGAGCGTACTTAAATTATGGAGGGAACACTTTTCCGCCCTACTAAATGGAAGCAGCACGGAAAGTTGTGGAGAAGAAGAACCCGAGCCCGCAGTCGATGATGACGGAGTCGACGTTTCACCGCCTGACTATGACGAGGTACGTATAGCAATAACGCGGCTGAAAAACAACAAAGCTGCTGGAGCTGACAGCCTGCCAGCTGAGCTATTCAAGTACGGCGGCGTGGAGTTGATAAGGTGCATGCATCAACTCTTGTGCAGAATATGGTCAGATGAACGCATGCCCGACGACTGGAATATAAGTGTGCTGGGCCCAATCCACAAGAAAGGTGACCCCGCCATTCGCGCCATTCGCGCCAACTACCGCGGGATCAGCCTTCTAAGCATAGGTTACAAGGTCTTATCGAGCGTATTGTGTGAAAGACTTAAGCCCACCGTCAGTGACCTGATTGGGCCTTATCAATATGGCTTTAGACCTGGAAAATCCACCATAGACCAGGTATTCACAATACGCCAAATATTAGACCCGCGAGAAAAGGATCGACACTCACCACCTATTTGTCGACTTTAAAGCCGCCTTTGACAGCACTAAAAGGAGTTGCCTATACGCCGCTATGTCTGAATTTGGCATCCACTCCAAACTCATACGGCTGTGTA